CGTCATTAACGACCAGCTATGACTGTAGATCTGGCCTTTTCCGGTCAGATCCAGCCAGTAGTACTCCATTATACTAGATTCCGGCCACCTTTCGACGGTGGTGGCTGGAATCTGGCAAATATAGGTGGGTGGGGGTGTTTTTGTCAATTTCTAAACTTTTTTTGGGCGGTGTCTAGTTAAATTAACAAACCTAGAGGGTTTAAAAAGAATTGAATAAAATAGAATAGGATTTTCATAATAGGGAAATAAATGTATATTTTGGGTAAGATAGAGATATGATAGTGCAAAAATGCTAAAACAAACACACCTTAGATTTTGGTCTACTCACTACTTAGTAGTATTTATCCATTCAAGTGAATTATTAGGGAATAATGTAAGTAAAAGTTAGGTAACAACATTCTTCTAAGTACAATTAGTAATCTAAAACACAAATATAATGGGCATATTATTTCCAAATAGGGTATAAGTGAGTTGGAAGCTACAATAATACCAAATCGTACCTAACTAAAATAAGAGCTCAATTTATATGTCGGTGTAATAAATGTTCATTACTAGAAAATTTTTTCTCATAAAATAATCTTTAAATATATTAAACAATAAATCCCAATGGTAAGGGTATGGGAAGGTGGGAAGGGTGCTAGCCATTACGGATCATGCATACTTTGTCCCACCAAGTAATATGGCTTGTGAATGCACAACAAAAAAATAACAATAATAATAATAATAATAATAATAATTAACACTTGTGAACTACAGCTGGATGAATTAATAAAAGTTATGAAAGCAAGAATGTTTAAATATTCGGGCAAAAATATAAGGGGATTATTCCTCAAAGTTTGAAGAAAATAAAAGACACCCAAGAATTTCAGAGGTAAAAAATGCACCCAAAAATTGATTACTTTACTATATAAAGACTAGAGTACCCTTCATCTAATTATACAAACTAAATTCAATTAAAGTGCATAATATTAAATGAATAAAGTAGAATGGGAGAGTGAAGTATAATAAAATAAAGATGCTAAATTTTTTTCAAAAGTAACAAACCCTTGGAACATTGGGTTTGTAGAGTATTCAAGGGTCCTGATGATTAATCGAGATGTGTGCAAGTTGACTCGAATACTTGAGTCATAAAATAAAAACTAAAAAAAAGATCTTTTAAAAATGAAGTTTTAGATTCTTTTAATTTTTTATTTCCTTATAAAAAACTTTATATTTAAAATAAAAATTGAAGAAATAAAAAACTCAAAAGAATATATAATTGGACAAAGTATATTATAATTTTTTTATGGTGGAGTAATCAATTTTTTGGGTGTATTCGTTATTATCTGAAACCTTTGGGTTGTGTTTACTTTCGTAGAGCCTTGAGGAGGAAATTGTTATAAACCCAAAATATGTGTTTGAACATTTTCAGACGATGAACAACCCGACTAAAATTAGCTTATCAATTAAATATAAATATAAATCTAAATCTAAAAAGCAATATGGCTAAGTGAATGGCGTTTGATCCATCAAAATGAGCTGAAAGCCCTTGATTTAAAAATAGAGCACAAGATTTTGTATATTAAAGGAACACCACTTATAATTTGAGTGAAGTGGTGGTAGCGGTGACGGTGCATACATAGCACATGGAGTGAGGATATGATGGTGAGACAATTGGGTTAAGGAGCGAAAAACAAAAAGAAAAGAAGATGACAAATAAGGCAAAGAAAGAAACATTGGTTCACGGGTTACCAACTGTTTCAAATCCATTAATGAAAAAGAAAACCTCACATGACAACAAAATCATCAAATAATTCACATATCCAAAAGTTCTTTTCTCTCTCTCACGCACTGATAATTAGGTATATTAGTACTATTCCATGCTAGAGCTAGGAGTGTATAGAGTAGTTAACTAGTGAGTTTTGTTTTGTGCTTCTTCATTAAAACCATGTCGTCTTCTTCTTCTACTTCTACTTCTGCAACTTGGAAGTTTCAGCTAGTTGTTTTGTTGTTAAGTTGGGGATGGTTTAGCGGTGGGAATGGTGATATTTCAAAAGTGGAAGATGCCCAGAATTTCCATGTATATTATGGACAAACCTTCAAAGTTATCAAGAACTCCATTGATGGCCGGAGCTACCTTCTNAGTCAGATCTGGCAACGTTTGGTCATCATTGATGACCAGCTATGACCGTAGATCTGGCCGACCAGTCAAATCCATCGTAGATCTGGTTGGAAACAGCCAGATTTGGCCACGTTTGGTCGTCATTAACGACCAGCTATGACTGTAGATCTGGCCTTTTCCGGTCAGATCCAGCCAGTAGTACTCCATTATACTAGATTCCGGCCACCTTTCGACGGTGGTGGCTGGAATCTGGCAAATATAGGTGGGTGGGGGTGTTTTTGTCAATTTCTAAACTTTTTTTGGGCGGTGTCTAGTTAAATTAACAAACCTAGAGGGTTTAAAAAGAATTGAATAAAATAGAATAGGATTTTCATAATAGGGAAATAAATGTATATTTTGGGTAAGATAGAGATATGATAGTGCAAAAATGCTAAAACAAACACACCTTAGATTTTGGTCTACTCACTACTTAGTAGTATTTATCCATTCAAGTGAATTATTAGGGAATAATGTAAGTAAAAGTTAGGTAACAACATTCTTCTAAGTACAATTAGTAATCTAAAACACAAATATAATGGGCATATTATTTCCAAATAGGGTATAAGTGAGTTGGAAGCTACAATAATACCAAATCGTACCTAACTAAAATAAGAGCTCAATTTATATGTCGGTGTAATAAATGTTCATTACTAGAAAATTTTTTCTCATAAAATAATCTTTAAATATATTAAACAATAAATCCCAATGGTAAGGGTATGGGAAGGTGGGAAGGGTGCTAGCCATTACGGATCATGCATACTTTGTCCCACCAAGTAATATGGCTTGTGAATGCACAACAAAAAAATAACAATAATAATAATAATAATAATAATAATTAACACTTGTGAACTACAGCTGGATGAATTAATAAAAGTTATGAAAGCAAGAATGTTTAAATATTCGGGCAAAAATATAAGGGGATTATTCCTCAAAGTTTGAAGAAAATAAAAGACACCCAAGAATTTCAGAGGTAAAAAATGCACCCAAAAATTGATTACTTTACTATATAAAGACTAGAGTACCCTTCATCTAATTATACAAACTAAATTCAATTAAAGTGCATAATATTAAATGAATAAAGTAGAATGGGAGAGTGAAGTATAATAAAATAAAGATGCTAAATTTTTTTCAAAAGTAACAAACCCTTGGAACATTGGGTTTGTAGAGTATTCAAGGGTCCTGATGATTAATCGAGATGTGTGCAAGTTGACTCGAATACTTGAGTCATAAAATAAAAACTAAAAAAAAGATCTTTTAAAAATGAAGTTTTAGATTCTTTTAATTTTTTATTTCCTTATAAAAAACTTTATATTTAAAATAAAAATTGAAGAAATAAAAAACTCAAAAGAATATATAATTGGACAAAGTATATTATAATTTTTTTATGGTGGAGTAATCAATTTTTTGGGTGTATTCGTTATTATCTGAAACCTTTGGGTTGTGTTTACTTTCGTAGAGCCTTGAGGAGGAAATTGTTATAAACCCAAAATATGTGTTTGAACATTTTCAGACGATGAACAACCCGACTAAAATTAGCTTATCAATTAAATATAAATATAAATCTAAATCTAAAAAGCAATATGGCTAAGTGAATGGCGTTTGATCCATCAAAATGAGCTGAAAGCCCTTGATTTAAAAATAGAGCACAAGATTTTGTATATTAAAGGAACACCACTTATAATTTGAGTGAAGTGGTGGTAGCGGTGACGGTGCATACATAGCACATGGAGTGAGGATATGATGGTGAGACAATTGGGTTAAGGAGCGAAAAACAAAAAGAAAAGAAGATGACAAATAAGGCAAAGAAAGAAACATTGGTTCACGGGTTACCAACTGTTTCAAATCCATTAATGAAAAAGAAAACCTCACATGACAACAAAATCATCAAATAATTCACATATCCAAAAGTTCTTTTCTCTCTCTCACGCACTGATAATTAGGTATATTAGTACTATTCCATGCTAGAGCTAGGAGTGTATAGAGTAGTTAACTAGTGAGTTTTGTTTTGTGCTTCTTCATTAAAACCATGTCGTCTTCTTCTTCTACTTCTACTTCTGCAACTTGGAAGTTTCAGCTACTTTTTTTGTTGTTAAGTTGGGGATGGTTTAGCGGTGGGAATGGTGATATTTCAAAAGTGGAAGATGCCCAGAATTTCCATGTATATTATGGACAAACCTTCAAAGTTATCAAGAACTCCATTGATGGCCGGAGCTACCTTCTTATTCAGGTACTCTTTATCTTCTGTAAATTTATTAGTTTACCTCAAGAAGAGGCACATTTTAGCTAGTTTGATGCACTGGCTTTGCATATAGAGACATTATAAATTGAGAGTGAATTAGCTAGATATATATATACTATATTAATTACATTTATTTGGTGAGAATATTGGCCTACAATATTGGTTGTTGGTTCGAACGGTAATGACAAATATTATAAAGATGACATTAAATATAAATTCATAAAAAAGACTGGCGTTTAACACAATAAAGAGTACATTGTAGTAACTAATATAAATAAAGTAATGCTATATTTAATACTTTTTAGTCTGGTAGTAACAAGCGGATGGAATCGGTTTTAAGGTGGCCCGTAGAGATCACGGGCCGTTGATGGCCCTTTTTTGGAACTCAGTCCACAATGACACCGTCTGGCTAATACAACTTGGCTACTTGTCACAGTTGGGCTTCCACAACCCAATGCCTGGTTTTTCTAGTCGGCTCATGGGCCAGTCATGAATTAGAGCAACGTTTTCAAAATTTCATGAGAATTTTATTGCATGTATTAACTATTGAAATTGAAAGATAATAAAAAAAAAAAAAAAAAAAAAAAGTATTTCTTGAAGATTTGAGGGTTTAGAGTTTGAGAAAGTGTTAGGTTGTTTTGGTATGTGAGAGAAGTTATGGTAAAGAGATATAATCTCATGTTTTATTATACATTGGGTATATGAAGTTGGATTAAAAATTGAACAGAACAACTCAAGAATGGCAGAAAGAACAAAGTATTGCACCTCCAGAATCAAATCTTTTGTCGTTCCATTGTCAAACTATTCAGTTGATACTGATTTCTTTCCAGGTACTAACTCAACTCAATTCATATTTCTTTTATTTCATCATTTTATTATCACTTTTTCTAATTCCTTTTCCCTTCTTATTTTAAATCCATCAGTATCCTTTTTCGAGGTGAGGATCCAGGCCTTCTCTAAGTTGTAATTATAATAATTTAGCAAGTTTTAATACTGATGAAATTATAAAGATTTTTGTTTCTTTTATTATATATAGTTGAATATATATATTTTTCTCCACAGCTACTAGGATTGTTAGAGAGCATGAAGGGCATTACATCGAGCTTCGTGGCTTCTGAATGCGTAATGAAATTATACGAAGGAGGAGAAATAGATATAATCAACAAAACTGAGCCACAACAACTTTCACTATATGCAGCTCATTTTACTAGCCAGACCGATCAGCCACAGGCTTGCAATTTCGCTATTTTTGCTCCTCTTGGAGAGGATTATCCTCTTCAGGTAGTCATCAATCAAACCCTTTTTACCTTTGGAAAAGATGCATTTCCAAGGAACATATTTTCCTCAAAAATTATTTTTTTATCATGATATTTTCCATGGTAATTTTCATCTTTTACGAGAGCTTTTATCCCTTGGAAATAGACAGTTTTGTTGTAATGTATAAGTACATTTTACTATTAGTAATCCAGTTTTCTTATGCATAACATGTAAATATAATAGCGAGCAGAGTGGATCAAGTTCTTGGGAGTTTTTGCAAACGTTGAAACGAGAGCCAACCAAGTGTATAGTGCAGTGAGAATTACAGTTTACCCTTGAACAAGCCGATTATAGATATTACTCAATGTGTTTATCAATGTTTCATTTAATTTTTGCAGGTGAAATCGAACTATTTGTGCCTGAATAAATCAGCAGCAAGCAAGACACAGTCATTCAAACCAATTGTTGCTTGGATGGAGTTGGATAATGTTTGTACCTATACATTTATCTCTGTGTTATGAATTAATATTTGCCATTTTAATTAAATTACTTGCATTTTCAGCAGGGTATATGGTCTTTTAATCAGGAAACATTCAAGTTGAAGGTACAAACTCAATCTTCAATGTTGGATTATAATTTCCTTTGATTTATTTTTTATTTTTGATGCATTGAATTGGAAGAACAGTATGTGGAAGATGCAGGTGGAGAAAATGTAGATAACTCAATCAACAAGAAGACTTTTAACATCTCTATTCCTGATGATTTAGATGATTTGCATGCCATCCTTTGTGTAAGCTTTTTAATTTTAGATTAAACAATTTACTTTAAATTATATTTTTCATCAATTATAATTCCAACACTTGTTTATGAAATTTAGACAGTGGATGTTGTGATTGATGGAACGAATACTTCTGATCCGATTAACTACAATCAATCAACATTTCTCAAAAATATTGATGTCCATGACAACTTTTGCTTTGCTTTCATTACAAATCAAAGCTTATGGAGATATGATAAAAGAATTCAAAATAATTCAATCACTCTTGGTAAGTATTTTTCATATCAATTTTCTTTTTCTTTTTTATATTTTTATAACTAACTAATTGTGAATTTTAAAACTAAAGATTGGTATGATGGAGCTGTGGCCCAACCTCAATTGGTTTTAGCAGATCTCATTGAAGCTCTATTTCCTACTGGAAATTATACCACCACATTCTTTAGAAACATTGCAAAGGTATTTCAGTAATTTTCTTACCATATTATAAAATATAATATAAGATATTTATGAGTAAATAGTTTATAATATGCAGGGAGAAGGTGTTGTAAATATTGGTGCAAGCATGTGCGATAGAAATATTTCCATTGCAATGGAGCCTACAATTATTCCTTGCCAAGAGTAATTTACAGTACTATGATCTCCATATTTCTATTTAATAATTTCCTTTTACAAGAAGACATAAGAGTCTTCAAAAAAATTTCTTTTGATTTTGAGTTGGCACAATATGTAAGTTTAATTGAATATTTATTTGTTGAAAATGAATCAGATAGTTTCCTAGTCCACTTCAAGTGAAGAAGATGTATCACCTTATTGTGAATGAATTTATTGGTAATAAATATGATGCCGGTGAATTTTTTGTTTTTTGAAAGCTGTTGTATAAAACATTCATCAATTTTACAATAATAAGACAAAATAATACAATTAGGTTTATGAAAATGCAGAATAATGATATTTGTTAAAACTTTATACCGAGTGAGGACGAAGTTGTTTTCTTCGGCAAAATTAGTACATCAACTTGGTGTGATGAAAGTTATATCCCAACAGACATGATCTATAAACTGCGGACGCCGGATAATATTTTATGGCAATGCTAATCTAATTGCCTGCTGGATTTCTATTCCAAGACAAGTAAGTTGGATCCCCAAGAGGCCTACACAAAACATAAAACCATCTCAAATGAATAACGCCATATAATTCACTACAACAGATTGTGCACAACACAAGAAGATGTAAAATCAAAGAAATTAATTATCATTACCGGAAACAAGATCATCATCAATTCGAGTTAGCAACGTCAGTTAAATATATGCCGAAATCAGGATTCTCGCTCAAGAGCAAAGAAATGGAAACATGAATCATCATGCAAAGATATTTCAGCCAGTTCTATTGTACATCTCCATACATGCGATCTGAAGGAAATATACAACTAAACTAAATCCTAAAGCTAGTACACTGCAAAAATACTATAGGGTACATCACAGATTAGGAATTTAGGATGAGAAATAATTTGTCTTTAGGGTGGAAAATTTCTCTAGAGAAAATTTTCAAACATAAAATTTATTTACTTCAAATGATTATATTGATAAATAGAAATCAGTATGAGTTTAGATATTAACTCACCTTGGTTTGGCCACATATACAAGTATGAAGGATATTGCCAAGAACAGGCATAGTCCGCCAACGGTAAGATATGCTATGCCCAGAAAATCATTTTTTCCGCCTATCCAACTTGTGGTTGAAAGAACCACCTTCTTTTTACCCCCGAAACTGTAAGTGTTATAATTGTTCTGGATTACGACTGTAACTTGGTCATTAACTTGAAGATCTACCTCTATTTTTCCATATAATTTTCTAAAACTTGGAAGTGCAGCGGTACGCATCCAAACTATAAGATCATCTTGTTCGCTCAACTGTCATACACAAACCAGTAATGAGAAACATCTTTTATAGTTAAAGAAAAGGAAAAAAATTAAAAAGCAGTAACGTTATAAAACTAACAGGAAAGAATAACAAAGGTATACTCACTGGTATGCTAGAATTGAGTTTTCCACCTCCAATCAACTCTCCAGTCTGGAAATTTTTGGGATAGACATCAGACCCAAATTTATGCCCTTTGTCACTTTTCCAGGCTATGTTCTTCTTGCTAACCTCTAGCGCCTTGTTTTTCACTGAAAACCCATATGTGTCATTGAACAAACTCCATGCAGTAAGGCCACAAGGAACAATTGGGAAACCTTTTGATGTGGCCTCAGGAGCACAGTCTTTTGTATCACTCTCATATTTTCTACTCCGCAATTGTTTGTCACTTCGACTTTTAACATATCTGAAAGCAACTTTTAGACTTCAAATTAAGAGAAGGTTCAAAAAGATACAGAAGTCCAGCAGAATATGATGACAGGATGATTAATATATGGTAAACACTGTACAAGGTTCCAAATTCAAAAATAAAACTCTACTTTTCAAATTCATAAAAATTTTAATTCCAATAAATAATAAGCAAAGCAGAAATGCGAAGTTGTTACAAGGTAAATTTAGAATCTCAAATTAAATTATAAATTTATACTATCACCGCATTAATCGCAATTAAATCTGTTAAATTGTATTTCATTCAGAAAATCATCTTGACTATTTCTCAACTTCATCTCCTTATAAATACAAGGCAACATTTAGATCTTGACACTCATATTTATTCAATTTTTCATCGTTCTTCAAAAATTTTGAATAGGTTGAAGAGTAACAAACTAATTGAATAGAAGATTAGAAGAGGAAAGTGAGCCACAAAAGGAACAAACATATATTACTCAAACTATTAAAATCATTCATTATGTAAAAGTATTAGCTTAAATATGATTTAAAGGATATTTTTCTTCATAATAAAAAATCTCAACCAACTCTGGGCTCTGTTTTTGAGAACTCTGCTACAATTTTTGGCTTCTTTGAAAGAAAAATTTAGGAAGGATAGGAATGCAGTAGTCTGCAAATGCCACTTCTCTTGGTCCAATTTGGAGCATTTGGCGTAACAGAATTAAGTACACTTTTGGGGGTGAGAACTTTCTTTTACAAAGCCTAAGGTTCTGTTCCGGAGATCAGTTTTCAGCTTGATGTCTTAATCAAATTGCAAGGTTTACTATGCTTCATTTTTCAAATTTCCAGAATCCTCACAATTTCAGGAGTTAAATGATTTTGTTTTGGTTCTCTCAGCCTACATCATCTCATTTATAATTCCTGTGTCGATGATCACAAGTATTTTCCTCAAAATATATTGCGTAGGAGAAGCCTATGCAATTTATTAACAAAAACAATTCTTTCTTTCAAAGTATTTACTACAAATATTTGTGTGGTTGTAAGCACAGAACTAGATGAAACAAAGGTAAAGATGACATCCTAGCTCAAGCTTTCAATTCATTAATCATCAAACTCACTGCCTCCTCCATTATGATCATAAATTTCACAATTTTTTTATTTTTTTATTTTTTTTTACCAATTTCAAGAGATCTTTAAACATCAAAACTCAGAATTAGGACTTTTACTGGGAGGAGAATGGCAAGTAATTTTTAGAAATCACATACATTCACAACCAAACATATAGAAAATATAACAATATCAAGCCTCTCAAAAATGTAAAACTATCCAAACAATTGCACGTAAAGTACAAACAGATTGTGCATACCGACGATGATTCTGGTAGAAGTTATCAAGCTGATAGTAGATAAAAACAGGACTTTTCATTTCCTTTGTAATCTGGAACATATCAAGTTAATGCACAGAAGAAAAATGTTATTAATATATAATTTAAAAGTGAAGAATAAACCTGCAAATCGTTGAGAAAATAAAATAAAGGACTAACATTCAAACTCCTAGTGCAGGTCTTGTTAGTGGCAGTGCTTTGGATATACGCAAGCATATTCGAGGAATAATTAGAAGGAACACAATCAATATCATATCTATCCACAATTTCCACCACCTGCATATAAAATAAATAAAGAAACCCTAGTTTAATTTTAAATATCAATCATTTCCAAAGTTGACAAATTAAAATAAATTCAGTATGTATATAATATAATATATGATTAAAAATATTACACTTTCTGATGCAAATAATGAAAAGAGGCCAACTGGGATGAAGATGACACCAACGGCAGTAAATATCATAATCACCTGAAACCCCAATACAAGAAATTCAGAAAATAATCAGAGAAAAAAAGATTAAATATTATACATTTTAATCCATACATATCCGGGTGTTAGAATTGGCTTGCATGCCGGAAGCTCTTGCTGGGTAAACTTAGAATCTGACAACAAAAACAAAAACAAAAAAATGTCAAGAAAAAGAAATTCCCAAAAACAAACCCAGAAACAGAATGGTTAAAATAAAACAAAAAGATGATGAAATAAAGAAAATCACATTTGGGTTTCTTGGTTCTGGAAGAAGAAGAAGAATTTGAAGGAGCATCTGTGCCTCCAGAACTGGCTGATCCTCCCTTCATCTCAAACAAAAGAAAAATGAAAGAGTTTGAGATTAACGTGTCCGTTTCTGATTTTTTATTGTTTTAGATATTTTCCATTTGGGATGCTGTGCATATTAGGAAATTTAAAAATAAACAAAAACGAAAGAAAAACGAAAATGGTTGACATATAAGGCGGAGGATGAGAGGTAAATTTATGTAACTAACGGTCTTCTTTATAAAGCAGAGTTTCAATTTAGTTTGTTTTGTCTTTTGTTTTACAGCGGCTGACCTTCGGACACCCTCCTCAATTCATCATCAGACTTTCTCCTCTGCCTCGAGTTAGGTGGTGCAGTGCAAGTGTGCAACCCATCACATGCCTTACTGTTGTTTCCGTAAATTGGTTAACCCCTAACTTTTAAGACTTTTCATTTACATCCCTAATTGAATAGTTGTTGTGGCCATTAGACCATCTAATTTTTGAGTCCACCACCTATTTCGTAATTATCATATGAGATTCATTTTAAGGTCACGCTATTTGCAACAATATATATTTTTGTTCAATTGAGCATTGATCTATTGCTTTGATGCTGAAATTATGAAAGCATATAGGTAAAAATCTTTTTTCTTTTTTTAAATAATAAAAAAATACTAGTGGGTGTTTTTAAATAATAGATTCAAGATCAATTTTAGGTGAAAGGAGTCTCATCGCTGAAAGGGTGATCAACAATAATTATAAGGGATATTATGCAAAGTTTCATAATGATAGGTGGTTTGCTGATATTCAAAAATAAATACTATGAGAGTTCTAAAATGATCCCATGTGTAATTATAAATTTCCTAAGAGTCCCACTAGGGGCGGTGACTGACCGATGGTCCATGTTAGACATGGGCCGACCCTACCCGCCTTTAACTCAGCAGTTTTCCTATTATGTCTAACTATTAAAACATTATTGATGTTCATTTAGTTTTTTTTCAGAAATAATTGTATGTAATAACTAATAAGCGTTAAAAAACAAAAAAATGAAAATTTAAAGTTCTTTTTATTTGATTAATGATATTACCATGCTACTTGCCGTGCCATTTAACCATTTACTTGCATTAGATAAAAAGAACCATTTAAAATAAGGCTTGATAGTGAACTGCATATTTATATTTACTAAAATGATTAATTAGATTTATCTTTCCTTTCCTTTCAAATGATGGTTGTGTTGCGGGCAAATAAAGCATTGTTATGAATAATAACTTCACCTAGTAACGTCTAAAGTTAAGTTTAACCAAACATTGATAACATTTGAGTGAATAAAGAAAAAAAATCCAATATCAAGTGGGTTGAACCTCTTTTAAGAAGAAATTCTTAAACAGAATCAAGTTTTGAAATTTCATGGAATTCTAATTTTCCCATTTTTGGCTTAAAATTAAAATGAAGAAAAACAAACCTTGTTTAGTGGCTTGGAAGTTGATAATTAAGATGAGGTTCCTTTCTTTTTTTATTTATTATTTTATTTTATTATTTTTGCCTAAGTTAAACGTGAAATATCTTAATTGAAGTAATATGATTGAATGAGATGTAAAATATTTCCAGAGAAGGCTTCAGCTGGGATGGGTTGCAGCAAGAGCGTGCCAAAGTAAAACTTTCCTCCTACATTCAATAATGTGATTTTAAGAGTCAGTTAATTGAGGCAATGGTCTATTACATTAATTTTTATTTTTATTTTTATTTTATTTACGGGTATTTGCTAATTGGGTGAATAATAGCCACTAATTTCAAAATACATGGAAAATAATTATTTTATTTTATTCAAAAACCCCATCATGTATGCCTTGTCCAGTGTTTTAAAAATCGCCCGACCTAGCCAGTTCTGGCCTGGCCCAGCCTGGATCGGTTTAACCAGTTTAACCAAGACCCGAGATCACTTGACCACTGATTTGCATTTGGGGTATGTTTGCTAAATTTTAAACCTGTAAGAACTTAAATAGTTTTCAAGGGTTTATTCTTTTTTGTTGTTGAAAGTTGTGTGTATTTGTATATATAATTCAGCCAATCAATTTTGTAGAATTGACTCTTTGTAATAATGTTTATTTATCAATAAAAAATATATTTTATTCTATATCGTGTAAATCATAATTATATGTATTGATATATGTCCTTAGGATGGTAGAACTGTGACTAGGGTATTAAGTATTTTAAATCTTGATAGTGAAAACCCTATAATCACATATGGTGGCCATTCTAAAAATGTTAGTAGCTCTAGTATTATTTTGACCTAGAACACAAATAATACGGTAAGGTTATCATAGTGATGAATGACCCTATCGTAAGACAGTGGTTAATCTCACTTGTCAAGGTTGTTTGTTGATAACCTGGTGCAACACATAGGTGCTTGTTGTAGGCAAGTTCATTGGACAGACCCATCAAATGATTCCATATGAATGGTAACCCTAGTATTTATGGAATAAATCTTCTAACGGATGGTGGTGTATGTGATCATTAGACTTGAGATCACCAGAGCACCTTGTGCACCAATTGGTGTAGTTTGACACTAGCCCAACGTAGTTCTATTCAGAGCTATTAGAACAGTAGTGATTGGCTACATCGAGAAGTGTATCAAGACTACGGTAGATTGACAAAGGATTCATCATTCCTAGGTACAGGAGAAATTATCTCACTGCACAATTCAATAAATGGTAATAACACTAAATCTATGGCCACAATGGGAATGAATTCTTGCTTAATCCAATTTATTATCCCAGTCATTGGTCTAGTAACAGAATATAAAGATGTCAAGGATATCTGAGGTTGACACTATTTTTGTGCCTCAACCTTGATGAGATAACGAATGATAAAAAGATTTGATTGTACAATAACTATATCGTTGATTGGTAGCTATTTTGCTGAATCCGAATCTATCAAATGGTCATGATGCTTTGCTAGAGGCCAATCTTAGTCTGTGTGTAGTGACACGATTAATTGGTGTTAATCGCGATACTACTCGTTGCCGATATGATAAGAAGCCTACGGGTCACACAATTATAAGATAATTTAAGGACCAAATGTGAAAATGGTATTTTCATCTTTTAAGACGAAATGGTACTTTGATAATCTCACAGTGCAATTAAATTTGTTGAGGTTGTTGCCCATATTCAATTTTAATATTGAAATTAAAATTAATAAGATTATATTTAAATATATGTACGTATATATTTAAATGAATTATTGTTATTATTTAATATTAATATATTTTAATTTATTAATTGATTTTAATAATAGTAATAATTAATTAAAAATACCAATTTAGCTTGTTTGGCTACAAGAGTGGATTAGAGTTGGAACCCATAACTATTCTTAAGTAGAATATGGTTTTAATTAGTTACACTATATAAATGCAACTTAAATTAAAACATAATTAATTAATTCATTGAATTGAAAAAACCCTAGCCACCCAAAACACCCTGCACGTTTTTCTTCATTGAGTCATCAAGTGGATCCCTCAATTTCTGAAAGTATGAAATAGCAGGCTTGGCAGTTTCACTTTCTTTGTTTGATGGGACTCCAACACACCTTAATACAAAATTACATTAGCTAATAGCATTATTACACAAAAATATCAACTTAATGAAATCTGGCCAGCCAATAATTTATGAGACTATCAGTTTAAATAACAAACATACAATATAAACAGCTGTGTTTAGAATTCTGAGGTTAGTTAATGAATGCCAACAATAACAACTAATTATGAGACGTTGAATAAACTAGTAGCACAGAATGACCAAGTAATATAAATGTTTCACTTCTGTTTAATCTTTTCTCCATCGGAATATATGCATTCACGTAAAAGAATACAAAACAATTAAAACTGTTTAACCCTAAAATAAAGTCAGAAACTGAGAAATACCTGCAGAGAATACCCAGAAAAAGCTCCAGGAAATTGCTCGGCCATTATTTCCATCACTGCAAGGAATGCTACAACCTACCAAACCAACAAAAAATATTATGATATGGAATACAATAAACCAGAGAGCATTAAAATATTTACATCTGGTCAAAGGTGCAGGACCTGTATTTCCTTTTTTCCGATTTGTGGGGAGATCACAGCATATACCTGTGAATTCTCTGGAGTCTTATACAATCTATGCTTGTCTCCACCAGTGGTTCCCATAGTAAAAGGGCACTCCAATTTTACAATACAGCTCTGTGTTACTACATTTTGCAGGAACCACAGGAGATCAAATTACATGAAGGGAAAACTTGTATGCAATATTATGTTGTCTATAAACAATTGGTGTAGGCACAATTAAACGAAACATATTGAATTAAACTGGTCTAATGATTAATAAAATTATAAGGTCAAGGATCCTTAGACTACTAATAGACCGTAAGACAACTTATAATTTGAGAAATAAGTAAAACCTGATAACAGTTGCAACGAAAATGTTGGACAGTATGTTTAGCCCTTCTGTACAATAAATCTTACAGATTAAATCTTTCTGTCTCATCAAATAATTTCTATGAACACTTGTGATTTAATTCACCTTAAATTACCGAATCCAATCTTTTTTCTTTACTAAAAATCTAAGTTTCAACATCTGGATAGCTTTTTTCTTTCAAAATAATAGTACTGTAACTCGGTACCATTCACTGTATCGGGCACAGTATAGTCGACCACAATCATGTTTGGATATTTATCAAACACTTTCCCTGTCAGAAGGACCATGCAACAGAATCTCTTTCCCACATACTTGTATTGTTTTCCCGGATTCATCTTTCAAGCTAAATGATACAGGAACCAACTGAAGTCCAATGGAATCTGCTGCAGAGAGTATAACCATTTACCTGGAATTGTTAAAGCAATCCAGCGCAAGAGGCAAATCATTAATTTATGCTACACAGAGTATAACTACTCTTCTCAATTAAATTCTTCCAACATAATGTTTTTTAAAATTAGTTTTGAATAAGATTTAAAGTACTTCATAATTGATTTTCCACACGTGTGCAAAATTAAGCAAAGCAATAAAAATCATATCACTTAAACAGGTCGAAGCAAATGGAATTGTGAAGCAATATAGGAAAAGCACAAAGACGAAGGAATCCACAATTTAATGTTGATCTTTACATATAACACCTTTGAAATTCACTTGACAGATAAGCTTTTATAATCGCTGTAAAAAGTTTTCCAATTGAACATGATAAGTGAAGACTTATATTCAGCTATACTATCCTTAATGACCCCAAGCACCTCCCTGGCTACTAAGCACCACAAAACAGAAAATTCAGCACAACTCACAATCCTTT